AGGGTAGAATCAGCAAAGCCAGGGGCCAGGGTTCTCCTTCCAGCTCTGTCTCTAATTTGCTTTGTGGCCTTAGGCAGGACCTCTTGGGCCTTTCCTCTCTCTAGGTCTCAGCTTCTTCATCTGTAAAACGCAAAGGCAAGTCTAGATGGTCTCTAAAGGCCCTCTGGCTCCAGGGCTCTGTGTGTCACTCAACACAGTGAGTGGGTGCTGCTCTTCCGGTCTTGCACCTCCTTGAGTGGTGCCCGGGATTGAGACTAATGATAACAAAAGCTGGTAGCTATTGACTTCTTACTGATTATTGGACCGTATACCAAGTATGCATTCTATCTCTATGTTGTTGTTTTGTTATGTGCTGTCGAGTTGGACCTGACACATAGCGACCCCTCCTTGGGTTTCCCAGGCAGTATCACTACAGAAATAGATTGCCTCATCAACCTTCTGAGGAGTGGCTGGTGGGTTTGAACTGCCAGCCCTCTGGTTAGCAGTCAAATGCCTTAGGCACTATGCTACCAGAGCTCCTAAGTATGTAATTATCCTATTTTCTCTTCATAATGATCTTGCGCAGTTAGTGTCCATTATTATTCCCATTTACAGAGGAGGAAACTGAGGCTTACTGAGGATCACTGGCATTTCCAAGCCCACAGAGGAATAGAGGATGGGATCAGGCTTCACACCTGGCTTCCCATCTAGTGCACTGTATTACTTCCTGATGGAGCTTATGGAAGAAGGGCCTGTCCTTCCACCCATTGGTTGAGCAGCAGAATTGAACCTTTAGAGAAACCTAAATATCCAGAGGATTGTTGCATAGAGGCAAAAAGGCATATAATATGCCATTAAAATGGTAATCATGAAGAATATTTAATAACTGGGATTACAGAAACCAAAAAACCAAACTCACTGCCATCGAGTCAATTCTGACTCCTAGCAGCCTCTCCTTGGGTTTCCAAGGCAGTATCATTACAGACATAGATTGCCCAGCCTTCCTTCCGAGGAGTGGCTGGTGGGTTTGAACCGCCAGCCTTCTGATTAGCAGTCACATGCCTCAGGCACTACTCCACCAGACTGGGATTACAAGTGATGTTAAAAAGGCAGAATACAAAAATATGTGTACACTATGATCTCAATTATATGAAAATGTCACATATGCAAAGCCTTGGGGAAAAACAACAGGAAGAAATATCACAGTGTTCATAGAAATTCTCAGAATGATTGATGGTAAGTCTTTTCACGTTTTCCTTACCATTCTCTTCTATGTCTTCTACATTTTCTACAAAGAGCGTGTCATATATGTAAGACCAGAGGAAAGGGTAGGTCTTGGAGAAAAGCATTTCCTTAGGATGATGGCCCTGTAGTGAAGAGATGAAGCTGGATGTGGGAGAATCTGAACAATCCAGAAACCAACTGGATGGGTTGGAGATGGAACCCAGACTGGGATGACTTGGGTTTTTCTTAACCAAGAGGTCCAAACAGATGTGCTCATTAAAGGAACAGAATGGACTTCTAGATGTTGATTTTGCTTCTCTGTTAACTGTGTACTTGCCTTAATAGGGCCAGAAAGGAGAGACAGTCGTCGGGCCTCAAGGACCCCCGGGTACTCCTGGCCTACCTGGGCCACCTGGCTTTGGAAGACCTGGCGTGCCTGGGCCACCAGGACCCCCAGGGCCACCAGGACCCCCAGCTATCCTGGGAGCAGGTTGGTACTATCAGCTGCCCCTCATGCATGCTGTCCCTGTTGTGTTCAGGGTCACTACTTCTGGGTGGCCTCTCAGAGCTTTCCATAAGCCACACTGTCTAACAGAGGGCTATTTTCTGGGTGGAGCCTTATTGGCAGCTTTGTCAATGCCTGGACCTTAAGGACTTGATAGTCAAGGATGTGATGAGAGACCAGCACTGATTCTCTCCTTGTGAAAATCTCATCGCCTCTCTGAGCCTCAGTTTCTCAAATGCAAAAGGGATGAGGTAGAAAGAAATCTTCATGTACTGAACATTTACTGAATGCTAAGGGACCAGGCCCTGGAGAAGGAAGGTCAGCAAAAAAGAGCAAGACCCTCAACAAGATGGGTTGACACAGTGACTCCGACAAAGGGCTCAAGCATGGCAAAGATGATGAGGATGGCACAGCACCGGGTGGTATCTCGGTCGGTTGTACGTGGGGTCGCCAGGAGTCGGAGCCAACTAGGTCTCAGCTCATCACTCTACTGCATTAGTTTATTAAATTTTTGCAATAGTCCTTCAAGGAATATATTAGAATCCCCATTTTGCAGATGAGGAAAATGAGATGCAAACACACTAAAGAACCTTTCCAAAGTCATGCAGCTAATAAGTGGCACCCATGGGATTAGGACCCAGACAGACCAATGCATCTTCCAACCAGAGTTCTTTTCACTTCCCCCATGCTGGAAAATAATAATAATGGTAGCACTAACAGTACCAATAAATAATTTTTTGTTGTTTGGGTTGACATGAGCCCCATGTGGTGGAAGCATAGGAAAGGGACACTTTACAGTCTGCAGTGTCTGGGATGTTGGGGAGAGTTTTACAGAAGCAGGGGGCTGGGGCTTTGATTTAGTCCTGGATCTTTTGGCCAGAAGTGACCGAAACTAAAATCAAACCAGATCAAGCAAAAGGAAAATGTATGGGATGTGAAGGAGGAGGTGACGACTCGTGAGGACAGACCTGCAGCTGGACCTCAGGAGCTCAGCCATCGCGAGGACTCTGTCATCATCTCGGATCTTGGCTTCTGTGGCATGTTCGTGCTGCCTTCCCAGACGTCATCCACCGCATGGTGGGAAATATGACTACCAGCAACTTACAGTTCCTGACATTAGTTAGAAATCTTAACCTTCTTTCTCAGTTTTCATTTATAAGGTCCAGGTGTGGGGCAAGTCATGGAAAAGTATTCTGATTGATCTGTCTTGGGCTAGGGGCCTAACTTTGGGCCAATAATGTGGCTGGGAGGTAGGATCACATAAAAAGCATGGCAACTCCTGAATCAAACAGCTGTAGAAGTGAAGGGGGAAATTCCAAGAGAAGGGAATGAGGATATTGATCCTGCAAAGACAGAAGGTATGGAGCAGATAAAACCATGGGTGCTCATACAACCCTGAAGGATGAGTAGGTGTTTCAGGAAGTAGAGGGACATTACAGGATGAGGTCAGGATCTGGAAAATGTGCAGTCTGTTAAAACACTACAGTAGGAGGACTCAGGACTACCCCACTGAGTAAGGATTTCCCCTCATATAATGCACAGCAATTCACAGTTTACAGAACAGTCATGTCCGTCATCCAGTGTAAACTTCACAACAACCCTAGCGGGGGAGATGGAATGGACATTATTATCACTCATTTAATGGATGACAACACTGAAGTTCAGAGAGGTTAAGAGACTTGGTCAAGGTCATGAATACTAGTAAGAGGCATAAGTGAGGCCCAAATCTTTGATGCTCTATCCACCAGACATTGTCACCTACATGTAGATTTTCAAGTGCCTAAGACACTTGACTGCTAACCAGAGGGCTGGCAGTTCAAACCCACCAGCCACTCCTTGGAAGGAAGGTTGGGCAATCTACTTCCGTAGAGATAACGCCTCGGAAACCCAAGGAGGGGTCACTGTGAGTCGGTCCAACTCCACGGCACATAACAACAACAGCAACAATGTGTAGAAATTGCACACTTAGGTGCAATGACCTGACAAACTCCATATGGAAATTTTAGGAGTTGTGAAAACATCCTTAACCCTGCTAAGACCGTCACAGTTTTTGAGGGGGAATGACTGAGGGTGGGGGTGGGACGAGGAGACAAGGGATTCGAAAGGTGGGAGGAGAACAAAGACATAAACGAAGCGACCCAACAAGCCCCTTGCCTTGGAGTTGACTCCAGCGCGTGGTGACCCTCTGGGACCGAGTAGAACTGCCCCCTCACATTTCCAAGGCTGTCATCTCTACAGAAGCGGACTGTCACATCATTCTCCTGCAGAGCATCTGGCAAGTTTGAACTGCCGACCTTTGGGTTAGCAGATGAGTGTTTAACCACTGCAATACCATGACTGCTCAGCAAAGGCATTGCTGTAAATAGTACTTCTTTTCCTTGTCTAAAGCAAGGCTTTTGGGGGGACTCGGGGGCTCCTAAAGAGTTCAGGGCTATCCTCAGGGATGTGTCATCCCCCTGAAATTTTATGTAGATTTGTGTATGTGCGTGCATTTTTCTGAGGAAGAGGGCAATGACCTTGGTCTGATTTTTCAGTCCACAGTGACTCTTCAGAAGTTAAGAACTCTGCTGAAAGTTATAAACCTTGCAAGAGACATTCATTGTTGCTGTCACAGTCAGTCCTCCCCACAGCCCAGTGAAGGAGAGCTGCTGTTTACGTTTCACGGATGAGGAGATGAGGATCAGGGCATTTGTGCTTGCCCATGACCACACAGCTAGGGACTGACAAACCAGCGACTTGAATCCAATCCATGTCTCTTGGCCCCAAGACCAGGGCTCCTGTCACTGCACTGTCCTGCCCTCTTTCTACAGCCTAGCACTTCCTCCTCCTTTTCTGAGCTGACTTCCTGTCCAAGGGCATAGTGCTTGTCTTTTGAGTAAAATAAGTTGTATCAAGGAGCTCTAGCAGTGCAGTGGTTAGGCCATTGTCTACTAACCAAAAGGTTAGTGGCTTGAACCTACCAACTGTTCTGCAGAAGGAAGATGTATCAGTCTGCTCCTGTAAAGATTAACAGCCTTGGAAACCCTATGGGGGAAATTCTGCTCTGTCCTTATTGGGTTGCCATGTGTCAGAACTGACTTGAAGGCTATAGGTTTGGTTTGGACTTCACTTCCATAAAGATTGACAGCTTTGGAAACCCCCCGGGAGAGTTCTACTTTGTTCTCTTAGGCCGCTACAAGTTGGAATTGACTCCATAGCAGTGGGTTTATTTATTTATTTAATTTTTAGCAGTGGGTTTATTTTTAAGTTATATCAGTTGGCACAGTTGTGGATTTAAGTGACAAAAAACTCAACTCCAACTGGCTTATACAAACAACAACCACAAAAGGAGTTTATTCACTTACAAAACTGAAAAGTCCTTGCATGGCTTGATCCAGGAATCCGAGCCCTTCCTTGAAGCAGTCAATGTGGCCTGGGTCTGATGCTCGGCCCAGAGCATCCAGGGTACAGTTTCAGAGTGGGATGCTTGGTGGCACTGTGTGAAGGATTTTGAACGCTCCTCTTTGCAGTTTTCCATGAGTGTGTTTTTTAATTTCCCCTTTCTGCTTTGTCTTAGCTGTAGCCCTTCCAGGCCCACCTGGTCCTCCAGGACAACCAGGGCTTCCTGGATCCAGAAACCTGGTCAGTATCAGTACCAATGTCTGTTTTCCATTCCACTTTGGATAGATTTGCTTTAAACTGTGGCTTATAGTGTTTAGCTGGGAAGGAAGATGAAACAATCGACTTCTGTAGTGATACTGCCTCGGAAACCCAAGGAGGGGCCGCTGTGAGTTGGGTCCGACTCGATGGCACATAACAGCAAAAACAACATAGTGTTTAGAGCTGGCATACGTTTTATTTTGGAATAAGTCCTCCAAGAAAATGGAATTGGTGGATAAAACAAAACCATTACTTTGAAATACCAATTTTAACTATGAATAACAAATCCAATGAATTGAAACAGAGAAGATAATATTTTATGAGTCTGAATGCTCTGAGCAGTATATTTCATTTATTCAGATGATACAATAAATAAATAAATAAAATCATTTATTATTTCTGCTTCGTTCTTCTAATCCATAACTGACTCAGATGTACAAGAACTAGTCATGTTACATCAGAAATCATACACATAAGAGACGTGCTGGTCCTTGAGCTGGTCAGCCCCTCTATTCTGCCAAGGGGTGTCGCTAACACATTTGTTACCCTGCAGGTCACCAGACAGGACAGAGCACTAAGAAGGTGGCATGATGCGTAGAAGATGGACAGATACCGCTCTAGGAGATCAGGAGTGTAGGGACTCTCTTCAGTCTTTGCTGGATTTTAGTCAAAATTTGGCTGCCCTGAAAAAGAGCTCTCCAGTAGTTGATGGAACTGTGATAGTTGGTCACTTTGGGGGAATTTCTTGGCCATTTTGATGCACAAGGTTATTCAAGGCTAGTTGGAAATGAGTTTTTTAGAGTCTTACTGAGTTGAAATGAAGAAACCACCCCACCTCATTTGGTTAATATTTCTTTGATAGTTCACACTATTTATTAGATTTTGGCAGCTTCTGTGCCTACATCTAGGTTTGCCAAGATGACAGTCTAATCTTGGGCAGATTTGTAGACAGGGAAATTGAAGACCACCAGTTTCGCTCATGTATTTAATACTGTAGCCAGCCAGCTAGGCACAAGATCTCAAGACCTAAGGACAGTTGCTCGCTGGCTTGCCTTTCATATTTTTATTTCATTTCTTCCTAAATGAAAACTAATTGGAAGCTGTTTAAGGAGCAGCATAAGATAACACCATTTAAAAATGCTAGTGTCGCCGAGTAGCTGAAACAAATGCAAGTGGCAGAACTTAACAGTGATTTTGCTAATGCCAAAACCCAACAGACACTCTACTTTCAGTATTTGTCTTTGTACTTGAAAAATACCAGTATTGTACAAGTACTGTTGTGATCTGTTACAGTCTTTCTGTGTAATTTAGATTTGTATTTCCAAGTAATACATGGCTTTGTTTTACCTAAAAGAATGGGCCTTTGGTTGTTAATGAAGTTGTCCATCTCCATATTGCACACACTAACTAAGCCTTTGTATTGAAGATGAGGAAATGGCTCATGGTGGACTTTCCAAAGGGCCCAGTGTTTCAAACTGTGCCACTGCTCTAACAATAACTACAGTGTTTGGAATTGAACATTATCTGACAGGTCACAGCTTTCAGCAACATGGATGATATGCTGCAAAAGGCACATTTGGTTATAGAAGGGACATTCATCTACCTGAGGGACAGCACTGAGTTCTTCATACGTGTCAGAGATGGCTGGAAACAATTACAGGTAATTCTGAAGCCTCCTCAACCAACTGCCTCCGATGCCCTCTGAAAAAGAGTGTTCTGCCCCTGAAGTGCCATTTGCCAGTGATGTTTCACTTCCACTGTCCTGTTTTCCTTAAAGCTGGGAGAACTGATTCCCATTCCTGCCGACAGCCCTCCACCCCCTGCGCTGTCCAGCAATGTGAGTATTTTCACGGCTTTGCTGCTCGTTCCTCAGTTGTCTGCATCTACTGAGTCCCCCTGGTCTGGAGCACCAGGCTTCCCAAACTCCAGCCAGCCAGCTGGCTGGTTTAATATCTTGTGGGGACCCAGGAATGACCAGGTACTGATAGCAGAGTCTAACAGTAGAGTTGAGGAGAACCGGATTCAGAGGCTGGAGCCCTGTTGTTCCCACAGGTACAAATCCATATTCAAACACAAATCCCAATCTAAAGTTCTTGGCCTTTATTTAGTCATCTGTGAAGTCATTGGTTGGCACAAGCAATCTGGAAGAACCCTTTAAGTTTGACGCTCTGAGACGTCTTGGCCTGATTAGAACATCGGCAACTTACAGGGTCCGTTTGTAGCCCTACAGTGACCGTGTGGGGAAGGTAACATCAAGCCCATTTTTCAGGTGAGGAAACTGAGGCCCTGAAGAGGTGACTCGCTCTATTAAGTGACAGAGTTAGCCACAGAACACAAGTCTTCTGCTTCCTTGGTTCGGTGCTCCTTACAGAAGACTTGAGAACATCCCCTCCCTTTCTGAAGATAATCGTTTCACTCCAGCATTAAACTCTTCACAATTAAGAGTGGCCCAAAGATGCTGTGTGTGCACAGGGAGACAGCTCGGCGGGCAGGAGTGCATGGGAGGGAAGGACATAGGGAAGAGGTACCTAGAGACAAAGTGTATGTGAGCTGCTGTGTGGAAAGTGAATTTTCTCTATAAACTTTCTCCCAGATCACAATAAAAATTAAAAAAGAGTGGCCCAAAGACAATGACAAGCTAGTTAAAGTATCTTCTGAAACTGCACTAGCCCCTCAGTGTACTGAAGAATGATTTGAATGCATAATCAGGACCATCTGTTGTTCTCATTTATGTAACAGCCACATCAGCACCAGCCTCAGCCTCCACTGACCCCCATTTTAAGTGCCAATTATGGAAAGCCTGCAGTAAGTACAATGCATGCATTGACTCTGAAAATATTTCGTGTGTGTCTTCTATGTGCTCTACCCTGTGCTTGATACACAGTTCCCACCCTCTAGATGCTTACAGAGTGATGAGAGAGGCAAACAAAAGATAGGCAAGGCAGTTATTTTGAGCAAAGATTCTATAGGAAAATCCTGATCAAAAGGGGGAAAACGAGGAACAGAATTTCAAATTCTTAATGGAATCCAGACTTTCTGGAACCATTGAAGCTGGATGATTCTCTGAAACTATTGCCTTTAGATGATCTTCAAACTTGAAATTGAAACTGTCCCCTGAAGCTAAACAGTAGCTCATGTTAATTAGTAAAGTAGGTCTGCTTTGAGCATCATGCTCTTCTTTTAAAGAATTCTTTATGTGAGAGCAAATTGGCAATGGCAACTCAACAGGTTAGTTGGGAAGCTTAGGGTGCAGTGAGTTTATGATAATGGTGGTGGAGTAATGTTGAAAAGGATAGCAGAAGGAGCAGTACAACTTGAAGAATGAAAGCAATGTCAGCGAATTGCACGTGTTGAAATGATATACATTTAGCTGTGTATATGTTCACCAAAGAAAGAGGTAGCTGTTACCACACAGTGTGGTAAGTGGTTGGGGCCAGGCCAGCACTGCTGAGTCAGAGAAGTCTGCATGGAGGAGGTGAGGTTAGGAGCAGGAGTGATAGGAGTAGGTGGTAGGAGGAAGCTGGGAATTCTAGGCAAAGGGACTGTGGACTGGTGGGAGGCAAGGGGAAGTGCTGTGCGTTTGTCTAATGGCAAGTATTCCAGGCCTGAGAAGGGGGTTGTTCCAGCTGCTGAGGTCAGCACGGGCAAGGCTTGGAGAGCGCGGGCCTGGGGAGCCAAGTGAGGGACTTCGATCTTTTCCAGTGGGCAAGGGGCACTACTGACAGGCTTCAGGCAGCGCAGAGATGGGGGGAAGTGCCATAACCTCCTGCGCCAGCACTCGGGACTCAGTCCCTATCCTTGACTTCGGACATCTGAAAATACGTTTCTCCTCCGACAGCTCGGACCCAGGCATGCACCGTCCCTCCCCAGCTCTATGCTGATGAGTGAAAGCTCTGTTTTTCCTGCATATAGCGCGCCCGTGTGAATAATGTGCATATGCATATAACATTCATAGCATGCATGGGGAAACTCATACATGAGGGATTGCATGGTTTGCAAAAAACGTATAGCACGTATTGTTGGCATAAATGTATGGTACTCACGAGATGACATTGAGGAGAAGGGGTGGAGGAAGAGGGATGAGTGGTCCTCAATTATGAAATGTATTCCAAGGGTATGACAGAAAGGATCGGGAGAGAGGACAGCAATAGAAGGGGTTAGGCTTTGGAAGAGAAAGTGTGGGAGAAAAGAAACCAGGGAATGGCTTTGATTTTGGCTGCTGGCTAAGGTGGCAGGGATGTGAGGGTAAGAGTATTATATGATCTTTGGCTTCCAAAAGAGGGACTCTGGTAGCACAGTGCTTAAGGCATCTGACTGCTAACCAGAAGGTTGGTGGTTCAAACCCACCAGCCACTCTACAGAAGCATGACTGGGCAATCTACTTCCATAAAGATTTACTGCCTTGGCACCTCTTACCTTGGCGAATAGCTACTGGGATCTTAAAAGCTAGCAAGCTGCCATCTAGATGCAATGATGGGTCTCTCCTCATCCAGAGCAAAGAAGAATGAAGAAAACCA